CTAAGCATTTCATGTAAACAAATACACATTTTGAAATCAAGTATAGGGTTCCAATTACAGAATACTACCTATATTATAGAGATCTGTTATTATATGTCATAGTATACTACATACTGTATTTTTACCAGTAAAAATAAGGCAAATTCTTAGCACTGTCTAAAGAAACAGTTTCTGTTTTGTTTGTAGTCACTTCTTCTTTCATAGCCCTATTTCTTTTATATCTGCTGATACTATTCAGTATTAAATACTAATAATCATATGAATGATTGTTTCTGGTACTCTTGTATCAGTGCTTTCATAGCAATCCAGGAATTCTTAGTTTATTTGTAATTACTTGACTGCAACTCTATTTCTATTACTATAACTTTACCATCCCTAAATGGTACTTGTACATATTTTACACTATATACTTTCTAAACTCATTGAAAGAACAGTGGTTTATTATAAAATTGTAAGATTTCTGTAGAGCATGATTGATCAACCTAAGCCACACACACAAATGTACTATTATTAAAGAAATTCTCTCCCTACCTTTTTGCATAAAATCAAAATTATGTAAAATAATATTGGTCATCATTCACTATGTGCCCAATTATTTCCTAGTGAACCAAGTTGCCAGCTTTAGGAAAACCCCTATGAAGTGAGGAAAGCAGGAGACCTGGCAGTCAGTGGGTGACAGATGCTGGGACCAAATCACCCTGACAGCTTCTCTCCATAATAAATCTGAGGAGCTAATCTCTGCAAAATTGTTAATAGCTGCTAATGAGATACTCCATACTCAGTTACCCCTCCTGATAATGTAGTTGCATTTAAATGAGCTCCTTCTGGAAGGACTCAGGAACCCAAAACAGTCGTTCTAGTGCTGACAGCTTCACACACACAGAGCCTCTGTCTCTGGTTTCAAATTGTCCCTGGGTGAGACTCATGATATCATTCATCCATTTGATCTCTAATTCCTGACTATCAGAAAGAAAGCATTACAGACTTCAAAGTGATGATCAAAGACTAGTTTTTTAAAAGGGTTGTGCAATGAAAAGTCATAGAGTAAAAAATTGATCTCTTTCACCTCATTCTAGGCTCTACTCGAACTAAATTATCTGGCATACTGGAGCATGTCAAGTTCCAAGAAGACAGATTCAAATCCTATATGTTGACATAAGACATTTCTTTTTTCTTTTTTCTTTTCTTTATAGTTTCCCTATGCCTCTTGCCATGGTATAGTATCTGAAACAGTTAAATCCTGACATTTAACCTCTTTAATTTTTATTTTTTCCATAGCACCATCAACACAGATTCTCTTCCATGAGCATAAAGCACTTGACAAAAGTATATTTGTAAGAGTACTTTTACAGATGAAGGAGCCTAAATTCTCATGAGAAACTGTCTATACCTCCAGTGAGTTTGGCTTCATAGAAAGGAAATTGGACCAGGAAGGAGAATAAAATATGTTCTGGGCCTGTCCCAAGTCACCACACTTGGTCTCTACTGCATCAGACAAGTTGAAGGAAAAGATCAAATATCTACTTCCACTCCTAAGGACAAGCCTGGGTAACAGCCACTGTTCTCCTTATTTCAGAAATGAGACAAAGTCAAGCTGTAAGAGGAAGGATCGCAGCCCAGGTCTGTTCAACTACAAAATACTTGACCTTCAGAGTGATCTCAGCCTTCTCATTCCCTTCACCTTCTTATGCTCCCTCCCCTTAACTTTATATGAATCTCTACATCAATCACCTGATGCCTAACAAATCCTTTAACTAAATTATAAATTATTAACCATAAGGTTTAGCATGTTCTCTCCTCAAAGGCATTTAGAACTTTAAAAGGAGAGAGAAGCCTGCCCAAGTGGGCAAGGGTAACTCTAGTCAAGCATGAGCTCCCCGTGAAGTCTGCACCAAGCAACTTCACATCATCTCATAACCTCACAATAATCTTCCATGGTTGAGATCCTAAGTTTCTTTTTACCATGGATCGCTTTGACAATCTGGATCATCTTATGTAACTCTTGATAAAATAACACTTTCAAATTAATAAAATATGTATAATTCCAAAGGAAACTAATTAAACCAATTTTAAAATGCAGTCATTAAAATATTTTAAAAATCATATTTGGGATATAGAAATGTAAGGGCATTTCACTTATTAAATGACAAGAGGTAAAAGTAATTCTATTACCTACTATACTTAAAAATAGTGATATTGGGGGAATGCATTAACAGGACTGATACTGTTATACTATGCACTGAACAATTAAATAAATGGATGGTGAATGGTGGAGGCCACATTTCTCACTTTTAGAGTAGGAATTCCCAGATAAGCAAAAGGAGGAAGATAAAACCATCTATGCATTAGTGGATTAAAGTTGGAGACATTGGTATGCACTCATTTTTAGCTCAATATATACAGTTACATATAGAAATATTTATAGATATATGTAACATATGGATTAGTATACACATATTTGTTTTGCTCTTTCATCCAAGACAGCTTAAACAAATGATACCCCACTAGCAACCAGCATGCTTAGAGCCCAGATATTGGTTTCTATTACCATTACATACAATAAAAGGAATCAGGAATCCTTAGAGAAATAGCTGATTTTAGGATTGGGGCACAAAATAAACAAGATGAGTCTTAAGTATCTTGTAATGCCAGAAATAAAAGGAGCCTAGGAGACAGCAGAAACAGCCCCCAATAGCCAAAGCTGGAACAATCTGAACAATAAAACAAAGTACTATTGGATTATAACCCCAAGTATAAAATAAATATCCATGAGTCTATACTGATATACATAAATAATTTAATAAATTCATATTTGGGGGATAATAGACAAATCTGTGCAGAAAAATTATAAATACTTTATGTACATACTCTGCCTTCAAGGAGGTGGAGCATAACTGTCTGTTCCTTACGTGTGGGCTTCACATGGTGACTTGTTCCAACAAGTACAGTACAGAAGGGGTGGATCTGAGACACTACTTTATTAAGGTGATCAAGAACAGCATCAACAGTCATAAATTACATTGATTGTATATACCCTTGATGTTATGAAAGTGGCATTTTGTCTCTGTGGTTGTCTGCCCAATATAACCTGTCTTATGAAAAAAATTTATCAGACATTACAATAGTGAGAGATACTACAAAATACTTGACAAATCCTCCTCAAAACTGTCAAGGTCATCACAAACAAGAAAAGTCTGAAAAAAAGCACAGCCCAGAGGATCCTAAGGGGACATGACAACTAAATATAATATGGTGTCTGGATGAAAGCCTGGAACAGAATTAAAGACATTAGGTAAATCCCAAGAACATCTGAATAAAGTATAGATTTAAGTTAATATGTAATATACCAATATTTGGGAACTCTGTATTATCTCTTTAATTTTTTCTGTATATCTAAAACCATTCTAAAAAAAAAGTCTGTTAAATAAAAAAGTAATGATTTGATTATAATGACATGAAAGTAGTGATATTTTGAGGTATCTATAAAACTGCAATAGAACATTATCTCTAACCTGTACTGATGACAAAGTCACAGGTACTTCTATTATTATACTTTGTTTGTCTGCGTTTATATTTCAAGAAAGTGCTAAATGCTAAATTTCAGTTAGAGGTTTGTGAAACTAAAGACATAATATTCCTATCCAGACCCCACATACCCTTTGATAAAGATTAAGAACCCCCTGTTCTATAGTGATATTAATGGCCTAATTTTGTGAAAGTGGGGCACAGAGGGATGAATTAGGTGTCCCAGATTTTAAAAAGCATACATTTTAGGTCCAAGAATTCTTACTGATTTTTGTTACAACTCTGTTTACTACATTACCTCCCAATTTTGGAATTAATAAACAGGGTATAGGAATTCTTCGTGCATCAGATGTGCTTCCTTGGCCTTGTGCAATTCACTGTTTAGACTGCTGGACATATTCACAGGGTAAAGCTGGCCTGGGCCTAGTGATGAGCAATTGCAAAAGCAAGTTGAATGAGGCAGCTCCACTCACACAGAATCCTAGTGTCAAAAAGCCTCTCTACTTGGGAATGGCTCAACAGTGGGAAAGGAAACCCGTAAATAGAGCAAATCTTTGGTCCTTTTATCCCTTAAACCCTCAGCAGGCTGAGCAGTTCAGCAGAGAGGGAGAAAAGGAGGAAAAAGTTCAGAGAGGTAGGGAAAGAGGGAAGGAGAAAATTGTGAGGTCAGGGGTCAGGGAGGGGTTTCTGTGTATATGTGCATTATTCCTAAAGCCAATTCTGATAAATCTTTTGTGGAAAAAAAAGAGTTACAGCCATCTGTTAATGTGGATTTTGCTTCTTGGTTTCCAAATGTTATAGCTGTCACCAGAGCAGCCAGCCCAATTGACGGCAGGGGTGCTAGAGGGAACATCTGTCTAGTAAGTGCACCACAAGAGCAACACAATCCTGGAGCGACCCCTCTCTGTTTCGTTGAGTGCTTTCTCTGGTCGATCCTACTTCTCCACTCCTTTGGGAGTTTCCAGTCCCTTTACCTTAGGCTGGAGGGCCAGATGTCCCAGCTTTCATAATTGAGTGGTTTGGCTGTGTGTGTACATGTGTGGCTTCGTGTGTACTAAGGAAAGTGGAGCACACTACAACAGGCTTAGAAAGATTGACAATTTAAAACATTTTCTACATGTTTGACTGTTCAGTTTAAAATAAAATGCCAATCTCAAATTCAGCTAAATGAACAATATGATAAGGAAAATGAAGAGGGTGGGAAACCCACACAGTCGAATGGGGCTGTCCATGCAGCGGACGTGACAGGGGAGCGCTTGGAGGAAAGGTGCTATGCAGACAAAGCCTCTCCGTCTCTTCTCTCTCGATCCACAATCCGGCGACGCTTCCTCTGTAAAAGCATTAATGGAAAATAAACCTAAAACCCAGAGGAGTAGCAATTGTCGGGTGCAGTTTCCAGGCGCCCTTCCCCACGGCGGAGAGGTGCCTCTCCCCCCGCGGCTGGCAAGGAATGTGGTGATCCGGTCCGGGGCGGGGGATGACTTCATGAGGCCGGAGCCGGGCGGCGGGAGCAGCTGCTGCAGCTGGCAGGTGGGTTGGGGGCCGGCGGAGCTGACCGGGCACACGGCCCCTCGCGGCGGCACTGCGGCCCCAGGGCGCCGCCCGGGACAGGTGCTGACTCGATCCGGAGAAGGTAAGCAGCCCAGCTATTATTAGCCGTGGCCACACTGCGCGGTGCTTTCCGCTCGGTTAAGAATGGGGTTTCCCATACAGAGGGAAGAAAGGGAATATCCTTGCTGCATTCTGCGAAGGGAAAAGCAGCAACAACTGGAATTGAAATGTTCATCAGCCAAGTGTGAGATTGGAGGAGCGGTGTTACTGGGCAAACAAAGACGGTTAGCCTCTATACTCTTAAAGGTAACCTACCATTTCATTACCAGATTCGCTTAGACATTGACGAGTATTCAAAATGTGAAATAATTTTGAGTTGCACGTTTAACGTTCTACCTTCAACCTTCACTTGGTAATTTTCTGGTTTTGGAGCAGCAGGTCCTTGGCAGCAACCTCGGAAAGTAATCAGAAATCTTTCCTCTTTTCCTACCTTCCTCTGTCCTCTCCCTTCCCAGTTTTCAGAATGGGTCTGTGTGCAATCCAATGTAAAACACCTACTTCAGTACTGAATCTTTAGAAAAAGTCCCAAATTAGAGGAGAAATTTCTGTTATCTTCTGGAGTTCAGCTTGGGTTGAGCAGACTTGTCTCCATTCTCCATTTATCATCTTCTCTGTCAATCATTTCATTGATTTTTTTTTTTTGTTGCAGGTGTGGGGAGGGAAGGAGGGTGCTGTGCCTGTTCACAGGTCAACTCTTGTCAGCTTCTATCCACCACCTCTGTTCATGACTGATGTTATCAAGGACCCAGAAAGGGCATTGCGCTACACCAGTTTTCATATTCTCTCTATGTACTATTATGTGTATCCTTCTCCCAAATACATGGCATGGAAAACCCTGCGTTTAGCCCAGTACCAACGTGGTTTCCAATAACTCCCTTCACTGTAGTTACTGGGGCTTATCAAAAGGTTTTGAGGATGCAGAACTTATTGGGATGTGAGAAAAAGGGCCATATCTACATATTTTGTTTCCGGTGCCTAGGCATAGGTAGAAGTAGAAATGTGAATGTCAGTCTGTCCTGTTTTTCTTGAAGCATTTTTTAGTCCATCTGGATTGTGAGACATCTACCTGGGTAGGGCTTTTAGAGCCAATCCATCCCAAAAAGGAAGCAGTGCGATTGTCCTAGGATTCCCCAGTAAACTCACAAGAGTATCTGGAGAGGCTCTCCCCGCAGGCAGCCAGAAAGCCAGTGGATCTGGCCAGTCTAAGCCTCAGGTTATTTGAGCATCTTCAAATTTATATGTAGTCTCCCCATTTAGGGTTTCTGAACACCTGTCCTAGGACTTCCCCATGAACCCCTTGCTGCTGAGCCAGGTGCCTATTCCCGTTGCCACCTAGGGATGTACATTTGAATGTTCTGAAATGGTTAAGATGGCTGTAATGATGATTGCAAATGTGCCTTATCATCAACAGAATTGTTGCAGTAAGGCAGATTGTAGGGTATCTGTGTCCCAGTATTCTATTTAAAAGGGTATCTGTTTTCTTTACATTTGAAATTAGAGGGACAGTCTGATGCAACATGTAATTTTATTGTAGCAAATTAATAGGGGGTCAGTGAAAAAGAGGGGCAGGATTTATAGCTAAAAAATTTACCTCTGCTAATTTTCCTTTTTAAATACTACTTTTAGACAGAGATACTGGTTCTGTGAAATCAGGTTAATTCTACTATATATATATATCATTAGTGCTTTTCTGATTAAAAATTCTCTTTTTATAAAATACACTTGAGAAAAATTTGAGTTGGTTTCTTTGTCTCCACCTTCAGTATTTAAGGCAGAGGGAGTAGAGAGGGTGGGCAAATCCTGCTCCAAGTGGTTCACTCCAGAACTGTTCCCCTGGATCATGGAAACCTCAGCTCTGTTTTTTGTTTTCATCCTATTTTTTGTTGTTGATATAATTATGTGTTGAGTGTGGTTTGGATTTGAAATACTAAATTTTCAAGATTCTAGTATTTTATCTCAGTCATACCAAGTGGAAGAGGAAACAAAGAACAAGAACAACAAAGCCCTTATTCTACCACCTTTCTTTCCTAATCTTAAAATATTTAATTATATAAATAATGATTCTGAATAAGTGATAACAAATATTAAGATAATTCATTTTTAAGATATTAGCTCAAGGCATATGAAGTAGAGATGAGTGCAATTGATCTTAAGTACAAAAAAATTTTTGTAATTTTGAGGCATCTTTATGTTAAACAGCAGTGCATGAGAATATCCTAATGATGGTTAGAAATTGAAAGTGTCCACTACTTGGTTTCTGAAGAAAAACTGAATTAATTGGTAAGAAATAGGTCAGAATTAGGGGGCTGGTGCTGCTTAAGTGGGCCTCATACCTGCTAGTGATTTTACAGGTAGATAACCCACTAAGTTATGGACCTGAATTGGAGAAGCCTTTTTGGGAATAAAGAAAACAAATTAGAAAACTTAATTTTTCATTTCAGTGGAGCTGAGGAAGATAATTAAATCTAAGGGATTTCTGAATTTGGATTGTTAAGTTTACACAAAGAAACTTTTCTGAGGAAAGTTTTTAAATTCAGAGCCCTACAAAGAAATATATGTATGATTTCATGACTGCATCTAATTTATGACTTTCCTTTTTTTAAACATTTCCTAGGGAAAGAAAATTAATTGCCTATTGTTCAAGAAGTTGAGGAGTGAAAAATAGAAAGATGTGCACTATTAGATGCTAAATGAACTACAGGCATTTTTGTAGGTTTGACAAGAGAGAATTAAAGTCAATCTCTTGCTTTCCAATCACATAAAAAAATTTATTATGATGGATGGTCAGTGTTATCAGTAACTTAGAGAGTACAAATTTGAGAGTCACATAACAAAAGACATTTTCTGGTGCTGCATTACTGCCACTAGTTACAATAGAAATATCCTTATCTTGATATTATGGAAAATGGGGATGGGGGGAGTGAGAATAATGAGGCTGAAGAAGAAATGCATTTCTATTCAACCAGTGCTTTCACTAAGAATGGGTAGGAAAAGTGCTATTTTGAAAGTTGTCAGTGACCTCATAATTGCCAGATTTCTGTAATATTTCACCCTGTTCATTATAACTTATTTTCAAGTTCTTTTTTATGTTCTGTTTTTATTATATACTTGTGTTTAAAAATATTATTAAAAAGTAATATGTATCAGACACAGATCTCTCTTCATCTAATTTCTCACTAATCCCCTTAAAGTACCACATGTCTAGCCTAGATCCAGTGGTCTGTATTTATAGTTTGTGCCCCAAGACCACATGCCTATATGTCTTCATTTGTTCCTTTGACTCACTGTGCTACATGGTGAAACCTTGTTCACATCAGACATTACTTCTTCCATGAAGCCTTCCCCATACCTATATTCCTTCTCACATTAGATGGGAGTTCTCCCTTGTCTAAATTCTTATGACACTTTGTCTCAGTCTATCCTTTTGTGTGACCGTACTTCGGGGGTTCTTCTAAAATAGCTTATGAGAGCATGGCCTGTGATTGACAAATTTTTGTTATCTGCAACTCATAGTACCTAGTGCCTAGGTATGTATAAATCTTCCTCGACTTACCATGGGGTTATGTCCTGTTAAACCCAACATAAATTGAAAATATCATAAGTTGAAAATGCATTTAATACACTTAACCTACCAAACATCATAACTTTGCCTACCTAAAATATGGTCAGAACACTTACATTAGCCCAGGTTAGGCACCCAACACAAAGCCTATTTTATAACGAAGTGTTGAATAGCTCATGTGATTTACTGAATACTGTCCTGAAAGTGAAGAACAGAATGGTTGTATGGATACAGAAGAGTTGTAAATTTATCAGCTGTTTAACCTCACAACTGCTGCAGCTCACTGCCACTACCCAGCGTCATGACAGAATGGAGTACTGCACTTCAGTAGGTCGGGAAATATCAACATTCAGAATCTGAAGTATGGTTTCTACTGAATGTGTATTGCTTTTGCACCATCCTGAAGTCAGAACATCTCCAATTTAATCATGCTCAGTTAGGGACCATCTGCATATGCATAGTACATACTCAGCAATTTGATTTTAGTGAAGATATTATTATTTCCCAGAAGTATTTATCTACCTGCTCTTCTCTGTTAGTGAATGAAGCCCTCAATATATTTGCAAGTCCTAGTTTTGGTTTTAAAAAATATTTATATAATAATAAATAAAGTGACAGTATATTCAAGTAATTAGATTGAACAAACATTATTGTGAATTTACATGCCATTAAATGTTTATTAGCTCCTCCATATTAAAAGCATGGTAAGCACAACAAAACAAAACTTTAAACATGATACTGTACCTGCTTTCAGTATGCTTGCATTCTATTGAAAAAAACTAAGGAGGAGAAGGTATGTTACATATATGAGCACTTGTCTACTTTCAAAGTCTGCTCGTCAGTATTTCATATGTGGTATCTAATTTCAGTTCTATTATAAGAAAATTTTACATTGAGGAAATGGGGTCTAATATCTCCTTTGATGATTCAATAGGTTATGCATCCACTCCCCAAGTACATACACAAACACACACACAGAATTTTGCATACAATGTTTTTAGTATTTAAGGACCCCGGAAAGCTCTCCTTCACAAATAGTTTAAGAACATGTATTGTGGACTCACTGTGACAGTATGTATGCCCTTTACTAGCCCAGACATTTCTGGTACTTGAAATGAAATTCTCCTTCTATTGTTCTTCCTGCTTCAAGACCTAAAACAAGAATTATTCACTAGAGTTGGCACGAAGGCAGCCGAGATGACTTGGAAGCAAATGCCAGTGAGAAGAGTGATTCAAGAACCTTGATTCATAGAAAAGGAATCCCAGAAGGAGCTCTGAATGTTACACATTCCGAATGATTTATGTAGGGCTTTCCAATCATTTTTACAAAAAGAAACAGTTCTAGACTTGCCAGCAGTTGAGTGATGTAGTCTGTTCTGGAATATATTCAGTTTTCTTAGGATGGATGAATGTCGGCCTCAAAGTTAGTATTTCTTTCTGGTAATGCTGTCTGAAGTAAT